TATATATATGAGATAACAATATATATTTTTGTATATCAAGAACAGTATTGGGGAAATTTTATGACAAACTGGAAAAACTTTACTTGTGACGCCTGTAGTAGATCAACTAAACAAAATCGTAGAGACAATAGAATTTACATACGAACACAATTCTTTACCAATCCTAGATATCAAGGTACACCGTATTAACAACGTCATAAAACTCGTTGTACCGGAAATCAACAAACAAAAACGATCCAATAAATTTCTATTCCGATCTAAACAAAATAAAATTCGGCGTAATCATCGGGTTCTACATAAGAACTCTGAGAATGTGCAGCTCGGATTATTTATACGAAGCGAAACCCATCGAAAACGCTTTCAAACTTCTCCAGAACCCTAATTATTCTATATTCAATTCGAAACTAATGACCCATAAAATATTCCAAAACAAAAACGGCCCCTCCTGAGAAGCCCACTGAATCAAAAAATATATTGTACTACCTACTAATCCTATCACATCTGCAGTCGAAAAGAATCACTACATCTACAATCGAAAAGTCATAACTACTCCATTCAAAACAATACAAGTCATAGTCAATACTAAAAAGTAAAACGATAAGCTGAATACCGAAGGAGGACTTTATTCAATCGCCTGTAATGTTTGTCACAGCAGATACATATATAGGAGAAATTTCAAGGAATCTAAATAAAAATTTATATGAACACAAAAGGGACATTTTGCAATATAATACATCAAACGCATTGGTTGCCCAGCGTAAGAAGACTGACCACAACTTAACATAAAAAAATGCTACTATGATGAAATGTGAAAATATATCACTATGACATAAACGTCTAGAGAGTGCCTTAGTCGCAAGGTCATCTACAGTAATTTTTCGATCTGGTTCTTACAACATTACACCATTCCTGGTGGATTTTCTAATATCACTTCTTACAAAAGTGGTGGAAAGAAAAAGATTCTGAATGAATTCGCCTGTAAAAAAAAAAAAAAAAAAAAAAAACCTGAAATTCCCAGTATTTTTCTTTCGTGCGCATGTGTAGTCTTACCAACATAACTAACAAAATTAGGCCGACCAAGTCCTGAAGGACTAAACCCGTCACAAGTAAATTTTTTTTCGATTTTGTCATAAAGTTTCCCGTGTGTGTGTGTGTATATATATATATATATATATATATATATATATATATATATATATATATATATATATATATATATATATCGTGCCGATACCAAGGATATTAACACGTAAATAAATACAATGGACCAGACTGGAATTCGAACTCGGTTCTCCGATTTCTCAATCCGAGCCGCTATCCATTACCTCCATCGTCCTTTCTTGACTTCGTGTTAATGCCCATACAAAACTCTTCTCTGCTAGAAGGTTTGTTTTTTTTTAGCCCAAACTCAACGTTCACTCGTTTTTGCCTTGCCTCTCTTTCTCCTTCTCTCACTCTATTAGTTGACTTTCTTCGCTTTCTTCCACGTTTAAATTCAGAACATTTTCAGTGTTCTAAATCCCTAGCTTTCTTCTTCGTTAAAGAATTACTTCTTGGTCAACCTTCTGCTTTCTGTCCAGTCTTTAAATCGAGCATTATTCATACTGACATAGATTCATGTCTTATTTGAACTGACAAGCCGGACACGATGGCACCCGAACGCGCAGACACACACACACACAGAAAAAAAAACAAAAAAAAAACACCCGCTGAAAATACGATATTAACGCTAACACATTAGTTACCGTTGGCGTTCGTGGCAGAAGTCGACCTGAAGACGACATGGAGGTTGTTCTTACACTGACTTTTCTTCAAAAGTCGGGATGTACATCATTTCGATACATGATCAATAAAGCTAAGATTCTGTATGTCTCGCTGCTATTTCCAAAGCGTTATTGTAAGAATAACTCTAACTGATAGAGTATAACTGTTATCGACTCTATAAACCTAACTGGGTAGGTTGTGTTCGAATTTCGGCGAATCTAACTTGGTCCTTTCAAAACCTCAAAAACAATTATGAATCCGCATCCATCAAGTCCGACTCCTCAGTAGAATATCTTGGAAAGAAAAAAGGTCGTATGACCAATAGCTAATAAAAGAGTGGGTAATTATGAAATTAAATACAATCCAGGATATAATGAATATCAAAAGTTACTACACGGTTTGTCACCCTTGTAAAGCTAGTGGGCTCGGTCTACCTTGTTATTTCACCAGTAATAGGGTAGAAGAGAGAGCAGCGATAGATGGATGTCTATCCTACAGGCACTAATGTGAAAATGATATACGAGAATTTGAATGCTGATTATTTTTTTTCCGCGTCGTTAACCAAAACTTTATCCAGACATTGAATTTAATCAGTGAACAAACGGCTCATTAAAACAGACGTGGAATTGACATATCGACTCCAAATGACAAACAACACCATTGCACTCGCTTTTCAACAAATACACCTAGAAACTTTACAAATTCATTTGTTCCGTCTAGCTCAACCTCTAAGCTAGGTATGATAATAGGTCAGACTGGACACTATTTTTCGTTGGCAATAATTCTAGCAAATCCACCCCACAAAACTTACATGTTATGTTAACAATTGCTTCAGCGCCTAGCGTAGAGAGGCTGTGAATTATACACTACTAGATATTTATAGAGTTAATAGACAAGAGTTTATTATAACTTACAAAAAAATATCACATAATTTGTCATCATCATATTTTAGCAATACCCGTGAACGTTTCAGTTTTGCGAAATCAGTTTCATAGTGTATCATAATTCTGAAAGTAATTGACTGATAGGTTTGTTTGTTTAACGGCATATCAATTCATTATGGGTCGCTTAAAGCCGAAATTTAACTTTCTTGGGGGCTTTCAAGTAATAAAAATATCATATTCTGTTTTCACAATTGAATACATGGTAGAGGTAACTCTGCTTTTATGCATATACCTGTTTTTGTGGGCATAATTACTAGAGTCAGTGATAAGTGTGATTCCTATTGTAGTTTTGTTGAAGATATACTTTGGAATACAGTTTGATTTAAGAAATTATAGGCTATTATATAGACTTATGTCATGAAAGTGTTCTTTCATATTGGTTGTTTGATTAGTCGATTTTGTATAGCAGCATATCAATCTCTATACTTTGGGTCATTTAATGCCAAAATCTAAATATTATATTTTAGCCTTTCAAATATATATATATATATATATATATATATATATATATATATATATATAAAAATATATATATATACTAATATTCCATGGTCATAATTTATTCCATTATGTATATTTTCCACTAATATTATCTATCTATCTATCTATCTATCTATCTATCTATCTATCTATATATATATATATATATATATATATATATATATATATATATATATATATATATATTCTGTCTCTCTTTCTGTCCTCCTTTAGATCGGAATAGAAATTTATTGGATCGTTTTTTGTTTGTTGATTTCCGATTTTGTATATACTTTTATACGTTCAGAGTAAAGGTAACTTTTTTAGATATATATTTTGTAGATCATATCCTCTATTTTTGGTAATTTTACTATAAATATACTTTTTTTCTTTAGTGTTGTATTGACTGTTATTTTATTATAAAAATGTACTGCTGATTTTTGTTTGGAGATTCAGTAATTGCCCATAGCTGGGACCGTAACATGTACAAGTACAGCGGGTCAGGATGGAACTGGGAACGACAGCATTTAAGAGGTAGTTCCATGCTTCTCAATACCTCCTGTCTCTCGATCAGAGGGCTTGCTGTCGGATGTAGTTTTTTTTTCATACCCAGGATGTCTGAATTGAATGATTACCCGTGCCATGATTACAACATACCCAGGGAAGTTGCCATATTACTTCGTCAAATTTTTGAGCCTGAACAACGTACGAAAATTCTGCAGTAGAAAGTTATGAATCTAAGCCATTACCTAAAGAAGTAAAAATATAGAAATGAAAATAATTTAAAACTTGAAAAGCTTTTAAGTTTCACTGAAGCTGACGGTAAAAACACAACACACTTATCACCTCCTCTTTCTTTCTTTTTTTCTTTCTTTCTTTCTTTCTTTCTTTCTTTCTTTCTTTATGTCTCTCTTTCTGTCCCCCTTTCTGTCTTCCTCTCATTGTTTCTGTCTTTTTCACTTTCTATAATTCTTTCTGTCTTTCTTTCAATCTTTATTTATTTATTTCTTCCTTCCTTTTTTTCTTTTTTATTTTCTTTTTGTCTTTCTTATTTTCTTTCTTTCTTTTCTTTTGGATTTCTCTTTCTTTCTTTCTTTCTTTCTTTCTTTCTTTCTTTCTTTCTTTCTTTCTTTCTTCCTGTTTGTCTGCATTTCTTTCTTGTTCTCTTTCTGTCTTTCCTTTTTCTTTTTACTGCCTTTCTCACTTTCTTTTTATCTGTCTTTCTTTCTTTCTTATTAATATGTACACTTTCTCACTAAAACTAAAAGCAAAATAATATGATATATATATATATATATATATATATATATATATATATATATATATATATATATATATATATATATATATGGTTAGAAGCTCCGACTGACACCAATTCAGTCGGGTTTCGATCCTAGCTAGAGGCAACCGGAAGTCTAGACACACTGATGAGCTGTAAACAGCGAAACAGTCTGTCTGTGGATGACGTTATATTCGCTCCTGAAATCAATTTCAGTTGAGCACTCTGGGGGTGAGGTGTGGGTCAGTAAACAGTGACTATTATAGCTATATAGCGAGACTCTTCACGAAAGCGAATTGAGTCACTGTCAGTCACTGGGCATGTTTCTAAAAATAAATATGCTAAAAATCCACCTTCATTCCTACCGTGCGCCGACGGCTTAGTTAGAAGCTCCGACTGACACCAATTCAGTCGGGTTTCGATCCTAGCTAGAGGCAACCGGAAGTCTAGCCACACTGATGAGCTGTAAACAGCGAAACAGTCTGTCTGTGGATGACGTTATATATATATATATATATATTATTCTCCCGTTTTTCCTAGCAATTAAAACGAAATGGTGCACGAGTTATCCGAAAGAAACAACAGATCGTAATGTGTTAACATGCTACCTAACGAAAAAAGAAGCAGATTTATAATGCAAAATAAACGAACCATATTTTTTAATCAATTTAGTAAATCCTCTTACAGCCATACATCTCGGATGATTCTCATATTATTGTTTTCAGAATGCTCTCTACATTGCGAAGCCTCGATTTTGTCAACTGAAATTTTGGCGGGCAATACTTGATTTCATCTAAAGTACCTCTATTCGAAATTAAGATGGTGACGAGGCTAATTTTGTAACACGTTGACTACCAGAGGCCAATTACGAAATCTGATTTCAAACGCCAACAATATAATGGCCAACTTAGGCAATAAAACATTTTTATGAGTTGATTTATAGCTTCAACTGAAGACTTAACATTGGTTTCTCACTAAATGTATCACTGCGAAGAAACACACTGTTGGCGACGCGGCTGATGAAACTGTATCAGAAAATGTCAAACGAACGAAATGGGCTTGTGGGCGGCATGGGGATAACTAACTTGTGGGCGGCACGGGGTAACTCGTGGGCGGCACGGGATAACTTGTGGGTGGTACGGGATAACTCGTGGGCGGCACGGGATAACTCGTGGGCGGCACGGGATAACTCGTGGGCGGCGTGAAAAAAAAAAAAAGGCTAACTTCGGATATTTAGAGATGTATTAATTGTTTCTTCCTTTGTTGTCTATCTTATTGCTCTGTATAAAATACATTGAGCTCTCTTTATGGATCTATCTTTTTAATATTTTATATCAAAAAGAGATACTTAGATTATCCTTTCCACTTAGAGATTTAAAATTGTACACACACACACACACACACACACACACACATATATATATATATATACACACACACATATATATAATATATAATTAATATTATATATTAGAATTATAAATTAATTATTACAGCACTATATATATATATATATATATATATATATATATATACATATATATATATATATATTTCTTGTTAACAGTTAATATATTTTAACCATGGCAGTGGATAAATGTATAGCCGAAAGCGCTCGGATAAAAAAAAGAATAGTTGCACAGTTTTTATATAATTTATCATCCGAAAATAAATAAATTATTAAATTACATTGTATAAAAAAAAATGTAAAAAAGTAAATCAAAGCACCTTGTCTGTCGTATTTAATGATATATATATATATATATATATATATATATATATATATATATATATATATATATATATATATATTCACTGGACATTACTGCAAACGGCGCTTACACAGTAAATCCCAGATGAAATACGATCCAAATGATTATTTTCAATCAGATAATATGGTACCCAAACATCACAGCGATTTGAATGGCCAAGCTTCACTAAGTGCTCATGGATAGTGGATTTTGATAGATCACGTGTCAGCCAATTCTCGCGTTGTAATGCGGGTTACTTGGCAGAAACTCATAGTAGAGGATCATTTCGAATCCCACCAAATGCGCAACAAGATTTCTTTAGTATCAAGGCCTGCTTTTGAGGTGAATAAAATTGGCTCATATCACCTATAGCAGGATGTTTTTCCTTGAACATTGTTGTAAACGACGCTTCTACACCGAAATTCACATGAAATATTCCTTTCACTAATATATATATATATATATATATATATATATATATATATATATATATATGAATTCCGAGAACAAAAGTAGGAAAAAAGGAAAAAAAAACAAAAGGCGAAAAAGCAAACACCTAGCTTCGCACTAAATTTAAGCTTAACTCTTAGACTACATAGACCAAGCACGATTCACAACGTCAACGCTCAACGTCGGACAGCTCAATATTGTTTTTAGTCGCTACCCACGTTTCACTCTCTCGTGATATATATATATATATATATATATATATATATATATATATATATATGTTTCTTCATTCTAATTGGCTGAAGATCGCAAGAGCGTGAAACTCTGGTAACAATTCGGGCCGTACATTGAAAAAAATTAACGTTGTGAAGCGTTTTCTTGCTCTGTCGAGTTAATCTTGTCGTGGCGCACTTATCTTTGTTGAAGAGGTTTTTATTTAGTTATATATATATATATATATATATATATATATATATATATATATATATAGATAGATAGATAGATAGATAGATATAGATAGATAGATAGATAATATTAGTGGAAAATATACATACATATGCAAAATATATAAATACCCATACATGTATATTTTCAAAAAAAAAAATTCAAGAGGAAGAATCCAGGTAGAACTCAATGTCTAGGACAGAGTAAGGATATAATAAAAAGGCTTAAACACTAATATTCCATGGTCATAATTTATTCCATTGGAATCGTAAATACGACCCAATTCATAAGACTTACAAATTCAAAAAGAAACAGAAAAAACCAACTCCGGAAATAAAAACAGAATTTAGAGAAAGTGTAAGTATGAGGAGGACGGAGATTAAACCTTAACGGAGAGAATTTTAGGAGATATGGGAGGAGGGATTTAAATAAGAGAAAAAATGAATATATATATATATATATATATATATATATATATATATATATATATAATGGATAGATGGATAGGTGGCAGCTCGGTAATTACAAGATAAACTAGTGTTGTATTGGATAATGACTCGTAATTGTTAATTGGAGAAGCTGACTGATCAGTGATGTCATTGGAAATAATGCTGGATATATAATTGAATAAAATATGACTGTACTTTATTTTTTGAAGAATGAAGTTGACGAACAAAACGCGAAAATTTGGCTGCCACCCCCAAAAGACAATCGAATAACAATCGAAACACGTTTTCTGCCTTTAACCTATTTTTTTTCTTTTAAATGAGAACTCTTTAGAATATCCGGTCTTTAACTTCTCTTATTCTGCATGCTTGGATTTTGGTTTCAGGAGCAGGTAAGAAAAACAGCATTTATGTAGATATGTCAATGTGAATGAAAAAAAAAAATTGTATCGACACAGTGAAAAGCGATCGGAGCCGTGTGCATATGCAACCTACACTTCACAGAATTGGAGTCTATAAACCTAGTTATCTTGAAAAGCCAACGAAATTACATCTGGGACTACTGAAGACCTCAGTACCGGTGTATTGGAAGCTGTCAGTGAAAGAAGAAAAAGAGGAAAGAAAAAAGGAAATAGAGGCGGGCTAGATTTAGTGGAAGAAAGATGAAAAGATAGCAAACCGATTAAAAGATATTTTCCCCGTTTCATTGGGCCTCGGCGAAAGCGAAGGGTAAAAATAATTTGTGTGAGGTATATATATATATATATATATATATATATATATATATATATATATATATATATATGAAAATACAATGTTTGGTAAATTCTGGCACAAGGCAGTATAGTTGAAAGAACAAATGTGTTAAGTCGGCCTTCATTGCGGGGTTGAAATTCTTCTGTATGTTGTGTCCCTCAGGACATAGGCGAACACGGCTCTCCTGTCAATTGTAGCTCTTAAATTTTGTCTTTTGCTTAGCTCTCCTAAACCCTGTTCTGCGATCCATTTACACAAGGTCGGTAAGTAGGATATGTGGAGATTTCTTCTGTCCTGTGCGTGTCAAATTTGCAAGGCCTTATTTCCTCTTTGTCTTCCCTAGAAATATCTAACCCTTTCTGATATGAAGTATGAAATTCATTATTGTTTGCCTTTTCTCTAAAACTTCGTCGTTGTTCACAGGTTCAATCCATGGTATTTTCAGCATTCTTCTGTATAACTACATTCCTATTGCCTCGAGTTTCTTATTCACTGCCATGTAGGAGGACTGATATCAAGTAAGAGTTCAGGACTAATTCTTTTTCTGTATCAAACTAAATTTTCTTGTTTCTTAATACAGTATTTCCTCATTTATAATACTCATTTTTTTCTAAAAAAATACCTCTATAAAAGGCAGGATGTGTGTGTGTGTGTGTGTGTGTGTGTGTGTGTGTGTGTGTGTGTGTGTGTGTGTGTGTAACGAATGCACGGCCGCAATTTTCGACGGATTTGCACCAAAATTTACATGCGCATGCTCCAAGTTAGTGGGAAGGCCATTTCTCAACTCCCATTGATAGTGAAAATAATCGATTTTTTTCATGCTTTTTCAGGCAGTTTTCATGTAGTTTGCGGCCATCTTGTACTGGCCAGAGTGAGAGCCAATAGCTGGCTGCCACGAATAGGCAGGGAGATTCTATTGGCCAGCGTGAGAGCCAACAGCTGACTGAAACGAATGATAACTAGCATGCAAGCATGCAATAAAATTGATAGCTGCATTCGTCACAAGTGAGAAAAAATTTAATCTGTATGGCACTTTACTCCAATTGGCTCATTCGCTTGCTTAAACTCAACGTTGATTCTGATTCCGCTGAACTGGGTTGGGTGAGAAAAAGTATTTGTTGTTAACATTCTTTTTTCATTCGGTTTTTCCAGTTACAGGTCCTTTTTTAAAGCTGATCATTTTGTGTTCATTTTGTTTAGTTTTTTTCGTAACAGATTTAATGTTTCGTATAGAGCTTAGAAAAAATTCGCAGTGCGAGATAGGCAAGAAGTAAGGCATGTAGCAACATCAGCACGGCAAAGGCCATTCCTTTAAAGGCAAGGAAGGGCAAACATATTTTAAGTCAAGTGATTTTTGAATCAAGCACGGGCAACGCCGGGCCATGCTGCTAGTTAAGTATAATTAGAGGTGGGAATTATGCACAGATAAAAAAAAATCTTTAAATATTTCCGTTTCGTACGTTGATTTTAGTTGCGAAATGACGACTCACCATAATAATTCGACACTTTGATACTAACATTCGACGATTGTGCCCTCATAATTTGAAATACAATCATATGTACTTAACAATTTTTTTTTAATAAGAGTAGATGTTGGCTGTAATGTAATTGGAGAGGTAAAATTTATAGGGTTTGATTACAAAGCAAGTGGTGCGTATTATGCGCGAGTAGAAGCATTTTCCCATACTTTCAGTACAATTTTAGGGGTTCGTATTTAGAGGCTGGATGAAGGCGTATTATACATGGGAAATTACGGTACATTTCTTAGATTTTGGAAACATAATTTGATATCCCAGCGCACCATCGAATTTCAGTGTCGAACTTTCCGTCCGAAGTTAAAACACGTTACAAATATTTCAATTGTTGTAGTTCTGTTATCTCCAATTGTAATTTTTATGTTGGATTCTTCCATTTGCTGAGAATCTTTGCTTATATCAACTTGCAGTTGATGTTTAGTCCTTTCTTCTCGCTTTCCTTCATAATCATCTATAGGAATTCTTACCTTTTTCCTTTGCCAGATCGAAAAAAACTATTGCAGTCGTCCGCGAATGCAACATACCCTTCACAGAATTGGAACCTATAAACTTGGTTATCTTAAAACGCCAACAAAATTACATCTGGGACTGCTGAAAACCTCGGTACTAGTCTATTGGAATCAGTCAAAGAAAAAAAAAAAAAATGAAAGAAAGAGAGAGAGAGAGATTTAGTGGAAGAAAGAGAAAAAGATAACTATCATATTAAAAGATACTGTACTCGTTTCATTGGGCTTCTATAAAAGCGACTGGGTAATTAAGTCTGTTTCGTGTATATATTGATATGTACAAAGCTAGGCAAAGCCTAGAACAAGGCAGTATAGGCGAAAAAATGAATTGTGTCAGCATTCATTGTAGGGTCGAAAATACTGCTTTGAACATTCCAACATGGATTATTGGCGCCGATAAAAAATGGCTCCCTCTTCAACCGACAACAAAAACTTGGATTTCTGATTAATAGAGCTTTATATTATTTAAAGTAAAACTGGTGCAGATTGAAAGCCAGACGACCTGTAAGATTATGTAGTGTCTCATGCAGGGTGAAACTAGCCAGAAAATCATCATCCTAACGCTTACGTATTACTGGTGATTAGAATTTTATTTGGAAGAATAACAATCTCAGCAAATATAAATAATTCTTATCTATCTATCTATCTATCTATCTATCTATCTAGCTGTTCCAGTCTATTCATATCTATGTATGCCTTTCAGTCTGCTTATATCGCGGCTTCTATAGGCCATTTTAGCATCTATCTGTCAGTTTGTGCAAGTCTATCTGTTCATGTCTCTGACTAGCTATATGTATGTATGATTAATTCCACACATCTATCTATCTAGCTAGCTAGCTACTCTGTATCATTGTATCTATCGGCCTGTTTTGTATCTATCTTTCAGTCTATTTATGCATGTCTCTCTACTTATGTGTCTGAATAAATCTATCTATCTATCTATCTATTTATCTCTGCATGTATGCAGCTGAGTTATTCTATCTGCCTGTCTATTTAATGCCACAGTTTATCTATCTATCTATCTATCTATCTATCTATCTATGCATGCTATTGAATTATTCTATCTGCCTATCTGCTTAATTCCAGTTACTATCTATCTATCTATCTGGATTCCTATCTGCGAATATTCATTTTTGTTTGATGTATTTATTATGAGTCGTGTAATTTAAATATTTTTTATTGTCAGTAAGATGATGATAAAGGAGTTTTAGAGAATTTATCAATGCCATCGCATATGGAAGGCATGCGAAACAAAAAAGAAACATGCCATATTCTTGGAAAATTATTAGTAAATGCAAATACCACAAAGAAAAATATGGTTCCTGAAGGCGAAAGCATGACCGAAAAAGAAATTGTAAACAGAAAGTTGTGGAGAAAAATGATCACCTACATCCCGAAGAAATATGGAACAGAGAGAGAGAGAGAGAGAGAGAGAGAGAGAAAGAGAGAGACAGAGTGAATGGGAAAAAAAGAAATGGATAAGGAGAGAGTGAAACGGCTAGAAAGATAAGCGGGATGTTTTTGCGCAATAAATCTTTTCAATGTCGCAAAAACGATATACGAGAACATAGCATCGTAGGAAAGTATCTTTGCGAACACTTCGCCGTAGGAAGGGATATAGACACTTAGTAACAGGAAAGGATATACGAGAACAGGTCGTCACAAGAATATATATATATATATATATATATATATATATATATATATACAGTGTAACCCGGATATAAGAGAGTTGTCGGGACCGGAGAAGAAGTCTCTTATATCCGGGTTTCTCTCATATCCGAGTTTGGTCTATTTTGTTTAGGTAAGTATGGGCTCTAATTTGGGACCAGAGAAAATCTCTCTTATATCCGGGTTTCTCTTATATACGGGTCTCTTATATCCGAGTTACACTGTATATATATATATGAATATTTTGTAGCAAGATCTTACATACGTCAAAATACCGTCAAAGGAAGCGTTATTCGTGAACAATATTCATTTTCTTTTACATACAACGCGTAAAAGGACGTGCGATACCAGGCCTTCGTCAGCCGCCAACCAGGGGAGGTAAGAGTTTTGGTAGCTATGGCGCTACTGCCACCCCTAGGCTCCACCAACAGCGTTTGCTAGCAGACAGGGCTTTGTCTTTTGCGTAGACGTGTCCGTCTCTGCGATGTTTATGTAACTGTACTAAGAAACCGGGAAGCAAACGAATATGAACTCCACTGAACAATCAGCCACATAACAAAATCCGTATTCTGATGAATAGAGAACACAGAATAACCAGGATGAATTCGAAAAGGTGGTCAGAGTATTACGAGACAGGAAAGATTTCTTTGGTAACAAAGAAAAGACTACTGAGCTGCTACGTGATATCTGTTCTCTTTTACAGCAGCGAATATTGGACGGTCTCCTGAAAGATGAAGAAGAGACTCGAGGCAACGGAAATATGGTTCTACAGAAGGATGCTAAGGATACCATGGACCGAGCGTGTGAGGTTTTAGTAAGGATAAAAACAAGGAGGAAAGTTATACTTAACATCAGGAAGAGGCAGATGAAATTTCTGTGACAACTAATGAGATAGGTAGGCTTGGAGAATCTTATACTCACAGGTCGTATAGAAGGAAAAAGAGACAAGGGGGAAGCAACGCATGGCGTAACTGGCGGGCTTAAACGAGTGGATGACAGAACGTGGTCTGGGGGAGATGGCAAATGGACGAACCTTATTGAGAGCTACAAGAATAGGGGGAAATGGAAAGTCATGATCGCCTACGTCCTAAAGGGACACGTCACATAAAAAAGAAAAATCAAGATTTTCAACGTTGTATTAAAACCGTTTGCTTTTGATCGTTAAAAGAAAGACAATGAGCTCAAAGCGACCGTTATCAATGACGTATACTGAAACGTAAACCGATGTGTTTGACGTCGGAAGTAGCACTGTGATTCAAGCGTGGTTTTTATTAATTTTGCTTAATTTAGATCTTGACCAGATCCAAATAGATGCCTTTGTAGTCACTGGGGATGATTTTAGCACTCTTCAGGTACCGGCAAGTGATGCCCACCTTCAAAAGGAAGGAAACGATTGACCGTTCGAGGAATCCGGGGCACCTGACCTCAATAGAGAGCACTTTGTATGACCAACTTTTTTTCTAGGCAGTCAAATCGCAGCAATTCGTAAAGGTTTTTCTTTCGCTCTTGTAGATCGTAGAAAGAATGGATACAAGTAGACGCATCGTGGCAAGAAACTATATACGCAATGTCATAGTCGCAGGAAATTGCATACGTGAACACACTTCGTCGTAGGAAAGGATATAATTAACCTTTCGTAATATGAAAGGATATGCATAAACACATAGCCGCCGGAATATACATACGCGAATGCTTCGTCGCTAGAAAAGTTAAAAGTGAACATTTCGTTGTTTGAAAGGAAAGAGGTAAACTTATTACAGGAAAAGTTATGCATGGTCACTCCATCGTGGCTGGAGTATCCGCTAACACTTAGCCGATATACGGATATAAGGATATAAGTGGACAGATCCTCGCAGGATAATATATACGGCAACACGCTTCGTCACAGAAAAGGATATAAATGAGCACATCGCAGCAGGAAATGATATACGTGAAGACGTTGCAGGAAAGAATAAGTCTGAACGCTACTCAGCTGGGAAGGATATAGGTGAACATTTCGTAGCTGGAACGGAAATACGTATGTATATCAACGCAGGAAATTACATACGTGAACACGTCTTCGCTGGAAAAGATATACGTGGACACATCGTCTCAGGGAGAGATAGCCGTAAAGATTTCGGAAGAGGAAAGTGTATACGTCACTATTTCTAAAATCTGCAATAATTCGACAGATTAATCGACGCTGGTGACATTATCTTCTTATGTTGACTAAAATTCACTGCCTTCTTTTTACCACATGTCCTTTTCAAAATTCCCTGTTCCAGAATTCTTTTTGCTAACAGTATTTGCATGTGGCTTTCTTTGTTGCATCTTCATTTCCCCGTTAATTCTTGCCCGTCGTCGATGTTGGCGACCTTTACAGTAGGACACTCCAGAAAATATGGCACGTTGTGTTTTGCCAATTAAAGGGGATTCAGAATGTCACCTTTGTCTCAATGCCTCAGAAAAGAGGAAGAAGATAAAGGTAATATTAATGTCACGTTTGTTGCTGCATAAATGTCAACTCGATGCTTTGTATTGCTCATCATTTCATGCAGATCTATCTATCTATCTATCTATCTATCTAAGTCTGCAGTCTATCTGTCTTAGTCTGCTATCTATCTATCTATCTATCTATCTTAGTCTGCAGTCTATCTATCTATCTATCTATCTAAGTCTGCAGTCTATCTATCTATCTATCTTAGTCTGCAGTCTATCTATCTATCTATCTTAGTCTGCTATCTATCTATCTATCTATCTATCTTAGTCTGCAGTCTATCTATCTATCTGTCTTAGTCTGCATTCTATCTATCTATCTATCTATCTATCTATCTATCTATCTATCTTAGTCTGCAGTCTATCAATCTATCTATGTGTCTTAGTTTGCTATCTATCTATCTATATTTTTTCTATCTTAATCTGCAATCTATCCATCTATCTATCTTAATTAGTCTGTAATCAATGTTTGTCTGTAATCTATCTATCTATCTACCTATTACTGCATGTATGTGACTAAGATATTCTATGTTCATTCACATACACGCGCGCATACACACACACGCACACTCACATATATGTATGTATATATGTACATTTTGTTGTTGAATATGATGTCAGTCTGTTCATATATGCCTATATGTCTAATTCCGCACATTATCTATCTATCTATCTATCTATCTATCTGTAGCAATGGGTTCATATCTATCTATCTATCTATATATATATATATATATATATATATATATATATATCCAATATCTGTCACAGATTGTTCATATCAAGCTTACGCAGATATCACGTTAAAACATTGTTTCCGTGCGATCACCGTAGTAAGTAACGTTGTGTGTGATTAGTACCTCGATGAGATACCACTTCGGAATTCCACTTGCTGTACGTTTGAATGTGCGAGAGATGTAAAGGATAATGGCTCGGAATTGGAGCTCGTATCGTCCACTTGCAATTCATATTGGATTCGTTAGGCGAATATCATTGCGAAAGATGCGAATTCAATTATTTTTCACCAAGCTATTCGAGAATTACTAAAATTTGAATCACTCAACAATTACTTTCTCAAAAAGAAAATTGCAATCTAAAAATATTTTCTGTCTTTAAATAACCTGCAAATGTTTGTATGAATGAATCATTCATGTTCATATCTATCTATCTATCTATCTATCTATCTATCTATCTATCACTGCATGTATGTAACTGAGTTATTCTATGAAAGGTTCATATATATATATATATATATGAATACATTTTATTGCTGAATATATATATATATATATATATATATATATATATATATATATATAAATTTTAGTGTTGAATATGAAAATAGCAATCGGTTTATATATGGTTTGTCTATGTAATTACGTACATTTTCTCTGTGTGTGTTTCTAAATATATATATATATATATATATATATATATATATATATTAGCTTTAGACCGGTGTTGCCCGTGCTTGATTAAAAAAATCGTACGACTCGCAATCGCTATCACTTGACATAAAATATTTTTGCCCTTCAAAACGGCAAATGGCACTCCTTTAAAGGCAAGCCTTTAAAGGAGTGCCATTTGCCGTGCTGATGTTGCTACATGCCTTACTTCTTACCTGACTCACACTGCGAATTTTTTCTAAGCTCTATACGAAACATTAAATCTGTTACGAAAAAAGAACTAAACAAAATGAACACAAAACGATCAGCTTTAAAAAAGGTCTCGTAACTGGAAAAACCGAATGAAAAAAGAATGTTAACAACAAATACTTTTCACACACAACCCAGTTCAGCGGAATCAGAATCAACGTTGAGTTTAAGCAAGCGAATGAGCCAAATGAAATTAAATTTTTCCCCCTTGTGATGAATGCAGCTATCGAATTTTATTGCATGCTTGCATGCTAGTTAACATTCGTTTCAGTCAGCTGTTGGCTCACACGCTGGCAAATAGAATCTCCCTGCCTATTTGTGACAGCCAGCTATAAGCTCTCACTCTGGGCAGTAAAAATGGCCACAAACTACATGAAAACTTCCGTAGAAGCATGAAAAAATCGATTATTTCCACTATCGATGGGAGTTGGGAATGTCGGTCTTGCCTTCCCGCTAACTTGGAGCATGTGTATGTAAATTTTGTGTGAATCCGTCGAAAATTGCGGCCGTGCATTCGTTAAACACACACACATCTTCTATATATATATATATATATATATATATATATATATATATATATATATATATATATATATATATATATATATGTGTGTGTGTGTTTAAATTGGGTAGTCGTGTGTTGGGTGTTAATAAAATATCAGTATAGAGTTCGGCGACAAAGGATCGTTCTGTTGGCGCTCAAGGCACGTCTGCGTAAATGACGGTTCCGTATAGGAACAGGTTCGAATTTCTATGAAAATTTCTCGGACATTCAGGCCGGTAAATGTTATTTAATATTGTTTATTATAAACAGAGCATTTACTTAAATACTTGTATCTATAAAAAGGACGTTAAACATAAAAATGTCTTTAATAAATAAATATATATATATATATGTGTGTGTGTGTGTGTGTGTGTGTGCGTTTGTGTCTCTGTGTGTGTTGATGAAATTGCAGAGATTTGAAATATTAAAAAGCATAAAAATGAAAAATAAATAATGACTCATTAGGTTAACTTAAACATCTAATTTAATTATTGCCAACAAGGACTGCCCTCTAAATGCGCTCTACGTAAGAAATAATGTTGCCTATGAATTCTCATATCTCCTGTGATATTGCATCTCCAACAATAACAGTAAAAAATAACATAAATATTTGGGCACACATGCACCACAAAATATCACAGACCGATCAGTCACCGCTCGAAATTTAAAGACAGTAAAACCTAAGGAAATAAAAGAGCACCTGCATATCCGGCACCCGCTCGGATCCAAGCATTGGGATCGTCATCCTTTCTCGTTATTCCCTGTATCCCTTCTGGTGGCTGTGACGGCGATGACTGTGAAGGCCTTGCCTACTCCTAATGAGTCGTCAGCAAAAGTCACCGAGGAGTGTGGTCGCAGCTGGGCCTTCATGATTGCACCTCGCAGATCTTCATGTGGAAGGTTGCATTCGAAAGCCACGGCCCCTCCCTCAAATGGTCCTATGCCAGGAAGGCAAATTTGCTGCAACGGTTTCACAGGTCAGATGGTCGATGTTGGCCTGTGTCAGGAAGGTTTTCAACTCAGTGGCGTAGCTAAAGGGGGCGAGGGGGCGGACCGTCCCGGGTCCCAGCACAGGTGGGGTGACACAGTGTTAAACCCAACAAAATTTTTCAACCAAGCTAAGGTGTCAAAAATAGTCTGAAAATAGTAGTGGACACACAGGGTTTCGCAGTCTGGCATATGACCCCAGAAATAATTTATGACCCCCAGTATTTGCCCCCCCGGTCAGAAATTTTCTAATAAATTGTCGAGAAATATCGCAATGTTTTCAGCTTTTGATTTGAACTGAGTAACGTACATGTCAGTAGAGGTAGAGCATGTATGAAAATTTAGCTACAGCTAACCATTCAGCATAGGGTGAATCGGGGTCATTGGGGTGACATTTGAATCATCGTTTTGGGCCTCGACGCAGCCTCTAGCCGCTGGCGAAATCGCCAAACAGGATCTGAGTCGGGTGAGACAGATTCTGGACATTCGACCCACCCAGCGGACGCGATGTCAATACATAAATATATAAATATTTTCTTTGAAATTCACTTAAAAAACGTTGCAAGCAGTTGTTCCAAACAAAATAAAAGTAAACGGCTATCATTTTAAAAAATATTTAGCTTTTTGATCACTGGATTTGTTTGAATACTGAATTCACACTGTTATTGTTAGAGCTGCCATAAGAATGTCTATTCGTTGCCTATAATTTTATAAAGTCTGTGTAATTGTTTGATGTATCTGTTTTTTCTCTCTTTCTTATTTATGAAATCTGTTTCTTTTCCCATCGCGCATATAAATTCATCAATCATTTCGTGACAAAGCTGATAAATTCATTATTGTAAAAAAAATAAATCTTTTATTTAATTAATTAAGAATCTGTAAAGGACATTTCAAAGAGAGAAAAAAAATGTTGGTGTACACAATTAGTTTTGGATCTAATTATTTTTCGCAAATTACAGAAGGAACATGTCTGTCATTTCGATGACAGAAATATCCTCCCCTTCGCCGGGTAATATCGAGTGTAATATTGGAATGTAATACCATTTTGAAGTCGCCTTTACATTAACGTCCGTATGAATAAAAGCTAAAGACGTACGCATTTATTTATTTTGCAGTTAGATTCACTACATGTGCTAGTAATCTTTGCTTAGGCTCTCTACATGTGTACACCAATGGTTAGATTCTCTATGTGTACTACACTTTGCTTAGACTATTTACACATGTGGTATTACTATTTGCTTAGGCTTTGTGCATGGGTGACTACATGTTTCTTGGGCTATCTACATGTGCTACTGTTCTTTGCTTAACTCGCTACACGTGTTTTTAGGCTCTCTGGATATGTTATTGGTTTTGGATTCGGATTTCTACATGTACTACTAGTATATTTTTTTTACTTTTTTCTACATATGTACTACAGTACTTAGGCTCTCTACACGTGTAAATATTCTTTGCTTATACTCTCTATTTTTTTTTTTTTTTTTTTTTTTAAGCATTATGCCCCGAGCAAGGCGTGAAGCCACTAGGATGCAGGGGGTTGCAGAAGATTTGGAGCGAGAGCAGATAGGAGTGATAGAAGAAAGGATGACGAGAGGGATAGTGGATAGATCAAGGTAACTGGAGGTGTCGATTGATATTACATTTGAATAGTTGGAGATTATAGCTCTCACGGAAACAGTAATTGGGAAGGGTGTTCCACAGGCGAGAAGTGCGAGACATGAAGCTATTGGAGTACAAGAGACGGCTACATTTAGTAGTTTCTACAGTGAAAGGGTGAGAGCGAGATGCCAGCCGAGTTGAACGCTTAAATTCATGAAGTCTGGCAACCAGCGAAAGCAGCTCATCGGAGCAATTGCCATGAAAGTATTTCTAAAAAAGACAGAGGGAGGCGACGGCAGGTCTGTGAGAGAGCGACTGCAGCCGAGATACGTGTTACGACTCTTTGCTTAGGTTATTTTCACGTGCGACTACTCTTTATTATGCTTACTAAATGTGTGACTCATCTTTGCTTAGACTCACTACATATGTGTGACTGCCAGCTGTTTAAATTCTCTACATCTGTTATTACACTTTCCTTAGTCTCCTACTTTTGTGATTGCTTTTACTTAGACTCTCTATATGGGGGATTATTCATGGCTTAACCTCTTGGCATTATAACCCTTTGTTTATG